CATCAAAGAGAGTTATCGTATTAGCTGGCTGAAATTGTGTCATACTCTTATTTTTAGTGCACTGTTGTGCTTCTGGGATATCCTGCTGTTTAGCAGGGAACTGGAGCTAAACAGATACGTTATGCAAGTTTTCTACAGGGGGTTTTAGACAATTCCCCGTGAGGTACTTGAAGCGCTATGTGTGTGTTTTGGGGAAAGAGCACAGCGAATGCCGAAGCCAAATATTTTACATGCATCTTTCAGTCCCGAGCCACTGTTTGGCAACTGCAGTTAATTTTTCAGACAAACAAGAGTCTGAAAGAGTTCAGTGAAAGAAAAACATCTTTAAAAAAGGAAAATAGTTTCTCCAATTTAAGGCAAAACTGTGAAACAGAACAAGCAAGCATTTGCTGAAGACCTTAGCAAAGCATATTGTGTAATAACTCATATATACATTTTCCATGTTGCCATTACTGCCAGCATAAAGTGGAGACTTTAGTCCAGGGGTATCAATCTAAATTTGAATTCTATGCATTTTATATCCATGCTTTTTTTTGTATTACTCACATAAGGGTATGCTTGCTAAACCAGCTCAGAAGGCTGAAAGGGGTTGGAGTCAGCTCTTCAAAAGATGTTATCCAGACRGCAAAATTATTTCCCAAGATCCTAATATCTTCTATTTCTAAATTGCATCTCTAGGTTTCCCAGGATTCCTAGGTTTCCCAGAATCTCCTGGTTTTAGCATTCGCATACTAGCTATTTATGTATTGCTTACATTCCACTCAAGACTAAGGGGGGAACAAGGAGGTTTATGGGCAGATGCAACCAATACACACAGTGGGATTGCACAAAGGACCATTAGCGACTATGATGGAGGCAAGACTGAGCTTAGGTCAAGCTGTAAGGCCTAGCAAAACGACAGGAGAGTCAGGATTTGGATAGGTGAAGTTCTCCAGTGCCAAYGTACCAAGCTGACTTCTGCTTCCACAGGCAGCGTCGCGGAAAGCTTCCCTGTTTTTCCAGCAACAGCTAAGCCGTCGTGCCATTAGGGACGGGATCGCAGCACAATGCCATGTAGTGCCTCGTGCCAGGAGAGAAAGCATCGCCCGTGCTTTTCAGACAGGTAGYGAGTGACAGTGAGGGGTACGAGAGGATGGGAAAAGGCAACAGAGCTTTCATTTGTCCAAGGCAGAATCCAAACTGCACCAGGAGCGTCACTGCATCATTACTGTGATCCAATGTCACAATCAAGCTCTAAGAAGAAAGCATCTTTACTGATGATGACACAGAACATTTTAATTATGAGCAACTAGGAGAAGTTAAAAAAGGGAAATAAAATTGAAGATAGGGAAAAGATATTTAATTGTAGATACCATCAAACATTCTTTGTAAGAAGTGGCAAAGCCACATGAGCAAGGCAGCAGGAAATCCAAAACAATTTTTTATCATCTCTAGCTTGGGCTGTGTAGCAGACAAAGGCCACCGATTGGGAAGCACTGCCATCACAGTGCTAGGAAATGGACACAGCACATGATTTTAAAAGCTTTTGTCAATAGAATTTCATTCCCAATTATTGTCACGGGACTCTCAAATTTTATTTTCTGCAATTCTTCTGGCAAAAGGCCAGTTCTCACATGACCTCTATAATTTTTTTTAATCATATCAATGAAATCATCTTTCCTTCAAGGCAGCCCATGTTTTTTTCTTTAAGGCAGCTGGCTTCCCTTACAATTTGAAACTTTTCCATAGGAAAATATAACCATAAATAGTTTTTCTCTTGCAGAGATGAACATCTTTATGCTAACATATGCAAGTCTTAGATTTTGTTACAATCATGCTAGATGGAGCCCACACACAGAGGACGCCACCCAAACCAGTTCTCTTCTTATGACTGAGTGAAAAATGATTGTGCTGGGTGGCAAGTTTGAACACACACAAAGGGTGGGTAATACGCACCAGCACAGGCCCCTTCGGAGATGCACTGCCTCTTCCACGCGCTGCAGCTGCTAAGTATCGGCTGGCTCTTTGAACAAGGATTACAATCAATTTTTAAACACTCTCCTGCTTTTCAGTCTGGGATACGCAGAATCCGAGTTGATCTGGACCTACTAGATATTCTGAGAGTTAACAGGTTATTTTAGTAGCCACACAGGTCTCCTTTATTGCATTACTTTCCAGCAAGAGCTGGCCTTGGCTTGTGTATTTTTTTTCTTAGGTGAGCTGAGCCCAGACTCTCAGGGATTCAGGAAGAGTGCTAGTGTCTAAGAATATGTTTCATTTAGCAAATGCAGGTTTTGGAATCAACTCAGCGGGGCTCTTTTCCCCTGTAAMAACGGCAGGGCCTTTGATCTACCTGCCCTCTCTGCCGGAAATGGCAGTCAGTGGGTAGGTGGCAGAGAGCAGCGCCTGATTCAGCAGCAGCTTTTGCTCATTTCCTTGTCACTCTATAGGTCACTGCCTGGCAGAGATCTCTGCAGAARTGCATCTAAAAATACTGGGAAAATTTGGCCTCCAATGACGAGAAAATTAAGTGGTGACTCCTGCTCCGATCAGCTCTAGCCTCAATTACTGCAATTTGATGGACTGAGAAGCTGCTATTCCACTGAGACTGCAATTTGCTTAGGGGAACAGCTGAGAGGCCTCATCAGGACCAATTGCTTCCAACACATCTCTCTTTTCCTCTTAATCACTAACAAATTTAATTTCACTTCTCACCGAAGATTTCGTTCTCCACCTTCCTGGCAAGAAGGCAATTTGGAGGCTGGTTTCACGACCTCTGCTATAGCTCTAGATTCCAGCAGGAAGCAGACCTGGCTGGAGCGGTGCCTGACACCTGTATTCCCTGGCACTGCTTTTTCCAGTCCTGAAAATCTAAAGCCACTGGAGAGCACTTGTCTGCACTGCTCAGGAAGCTTAGTGTCCTGCAGAGTGTTCTCTGGGGTATGCRAATTTTAGAGGAACTGTACACAAAAACTTGAGAGAATTTAATTGAGCGTCTCCTCAAAAGAGCGTATAGTATAATGACCACAAGGGATCTGTGGTTGAGGCAAGAAAACCACAAAGAGGAGACAGTGCCACCTCTTCTGACACTGTTCTAATCTGATGCTGTAGTTTTGATCTAGGGGATTGGGGCCACCCGCCGAAGCAGGGACAAGAGAGATTAGGTCTGTTACCTGCTGGAAAGGGCAAACTATCAAGTGTAAAGTAAAATACTCTTCATTTACTCTCCTCATACGCTACATTATCAGAGCACATTGTTAGAACAATAGCAGGGCTTTTCAAACAGCCTCCCTAGGGAGGCTATTCTACAGCTTAACAGCCCTTTCGCTGGCGACGGGCAAGGGTAACTAAGGCAGAATTTAGTCTCGTCTCTATTTAGCATCTTTGCAAGGGACTGCATTCATTTCCAGTACTTTATAAAAATAGTAATATAAATGCAACTAGATTATAACAAAATAGATAAACTATGATTTAGCCTCTTACCACATTGTATTTCCTGAATGCATCAACGTCTATTTAGGTGCAAAACCGCCTCCAGTTTAAAACACAATACTGCGATCATCTGCTGCAGAGCTTCTGTATGAGATTATGATTCAATACAAAACACAATTCAGTTATTTTAAACTTCATTTTTAATGTCAGAATAACATCAGAAAAGTAATTCCTTCTCCATATGCAGAGTTGCAAAAAATGTATACCAGAGACTCGGTCTTTACTAGTGATTTCTACACATACATCGGCTCGTATCTTATGCACGTATGCACTTAACACATAAATATATGTGGTTGCAGACACACAATATTTCATCTTGCTTTCTAACCTCCTGCTGTCAAGATATTTCCATAGAAAACCACACACAGATAAAACTGAAGATGAAAATAATGACAAGGGAACATGTTAGAAAACAGGCTCCTCTTTCCCTGACTGCCAGCATAACATACAGGTCTGCATTTTCATAAAATTAAACTACTGGATTACGCTTCTTTTGGTCTGTGAAAAAAAAGCACAACTGTCCAGCTTCTGCTGAGACTGTGGCTTTTCTGTCATATAGTCTATTTAAACTAAGGGATATATATAAAAGAAAAACCCTTATATTATAGATCTTGATTTTAAATATGTAGGAGGTTATTTATCTTGGACCTATTCCTGGAGGATTGTGCTTCTCACTTTAGAGCACAAAAAGGGAGTGGAAATGTTGGAGGAACCCAACACAAAGGTGCTGGGAATCTGTGTGAACTCTGAAGTGCTGTTTCACTGTTTTAAAGCCTTTTTTTTCCCCCCCCTCCGCTGATACCATTTGATAAGATTATAGATATGTAAATCTAAGAAGTGTTAATGAACATGGATGCAGTTCTCATTTGCCACTAGTTTTGTCTAATTATGATCAACATTAGATGTCTTTCAATTAAAAGAGATAAGAAATTGGAAACATTTAGAACTGTTTTAACTGTTTTAATCCTCTGTTTTAAAAATGATGGCATTCAATTAATTTTCATCTGATCATAATTTTCTCTGAGTCTCAATTTTTTTTAAAATGTACAACTATTTGAAGTTTTCTATATCCATCTGAAAGAAACTGCAGAGAAAGAGGGCCTTCTTTCCCCAAATTTAGTTGATAAAATATGTTTTTACAGTTGACATTTTCTTTAAAATGGGCAAGCGAAGAAATTAAAAGGTTTATCTGCAAAAGAACAAAACTTCAGGTAACAATGAAAAAAATGACCTAGAGGATATGGAATTGTATCTTTTTTTCTTACTACCAAATTAGATTCAAAACCATTCTGTTTAATAAAGACAAACGCATAATAGAAAGGCATAGAACTAGCAGCTTAACAGTCTTCAAACATAACAGAATTGATATGAATAATTAAGTTTCATTAAGTATTTAAAAAATGTATTTCAATTTTGCTTTATATTCCCTTCAGATCAACACCTCCAACATTCACTTAGGTTTAAGAAAAAAATGTACGTAACATTTAGGCTGCCCCAAGAAATAAGCAATGACTTTGTAAAAGAACTAACAAAACTCTCACTTAAAATAGTTTGAAATAGTCTTAAGCACAGAAAATATTTAACAAAGAAAAAAGGATGTTTCCCATGGAATTTAAGCAAGTTGTTGGATGTACTGAAAATAGGAGATTCAGTACTCAGAGGTAGCTCAGTAAGAGTATTTGCAGTGTATTGACTACTTGGCATAGATACAACCACGAAGTGGAAGAAATAACTCTATGCTTGAATTCGGCCTGTGTATTACAAACAAAAACAAAAACAAAAACAAAAACAAAACAAAACAAAAAAACCAACACCCTCAGCATTTTCCTTGGGCTTACTCCTTTGCCATTTAAATCCAACGGAACAATTCACAGATTTCAATGGGATTGGGATTAGGTCTTTACATGCTCTGAAAATTCAGGAGAGATTTAAGGAAACAGCACAGGGGAAACTGCCTGGCACAGGGGCTGTCTGCTCTGGTCAGGTTCTTAAGCACAGACAAAGGAATTTTGACACATACATGCAGCTGATTTCTGGTTAGCCTACTTAAGAAGGGGGAACCTTAAACTCGTGCCGAGAACACATGTGCTGTTCTCTCTAGTTACCTGTGGGGCTGGCCCCTCGGTGGATCCAGGCATGCTGTGCAGGGACACACGGGTCCGTACTGCGAGCCCCACGGGCTCCCACACAGGCTTGCCGTGCCCAGTTCCATTCCCCTCCGTGGAAAGAGGAGATTTCAAAGCATGAACACATCACACACTGTCATTATGCAATTTCCTTACAATTGGTGATGATCACTGTGAATAAGCTTCACTCTCAACCCCTGGTAATTTCTGATATAGGTGGCAACAGAGCCACTTAGCACTGGCCATGGGTTAAAGCACTGCCGATTGGTAACAAACTTAATTTCTTGCCGTTAAATTAGCAATAATAAACTAGATAAACCAAACATGATTTTTTTCACTAAGGTAAGGGGATAAGTTGCAGGTGCCTATTCTCATAGAAAAGATACCGGCTTGTGTAAATATAAGTAGCGATATCAGTGCTATGATAATTTACATCTGCTGAAGATCTGTTCCAAAGTGCCTGCAGTTAATGGTGCAACTCAGTGCAATGTTAACTATGACACGCAAGACACTTCTGCACTTAAATCAACCCCTGTTTGACCTATTTCTTTCATTCCTTTCAATGTCTTAATGCACAATTGCCAGCACAATTTTTGCAGATGGGTACATCTCAAGAGCCCTGACTAGTGCACCCTTCTGAAACCTTAATCTCCTGGATGACATATGGGACTGGCTCTAGGTCTAAGCATTTGCCTGTGTTTCTATTTACTTGCACAAATAGTATTTTATATCGTCTTTTTTTTTTATTTTTTAAAAGAGTATCATTACAAATAGCAATACTTGATTTTTTAAAAAAGTTCTCATTGATTATCAAATTAACTAAGATAGTGCTCCTTTTTACTATAAGGATCCCTTTAATTGGCAAAAAAATAATCTTCAACTTGCTCATCTGTTCAACTGCTATTCGTTACCATGTGGCAGTATAAAAAACTTAGCTTGGTTTACTACAATAAAGATTCTGTTTAAATATAAGCATCCTAAATCCTGTCACTGCAGGTTTCTGTGCATTGCACTGGTGGAAGGAAAAGGAGAGGAAAAAAAAAAGTGTTCTTCTGGGGTAAATTAAAAAAGATGTCCTAGCTGCAAACACAAATACTTCACTCATAACCCAAGCACCAGACCATTTCTTTGAAGAAGCTTATGAGGCATTTAAGATATACAATGGCACAATATCATACAATGGAATTGAAAGAATTTTCTTGAAAAAACATTAACTTTGAAGGAATGTCTAGACAACTGTGTCAACAAATGCAAATAATTCATGCTTCTCAGCTCCTATCCAATGGATGGCCCCATGCTGAGAATACACAAACTCAGAAGAAAAAGGCATGTCACAGTCATATGACTAGGGAGTGTAACAGAATCACACACACAATTCAAGTCAATCGTGAAAAAAATCCTTCAGCAAGCTCTTCCTCAGGGTAAGCCAGCAGTGGGATAGGCTGCTGGTCATTTGGCCAGTTTGAAACAGAAACTTAGAGCTGCTGCTGAACCCTGGTTTCAAAGCAGGGGCAATGGAAGAAAAACAGCTCGTAATTAGGTCCATTCACTCAGTTAGAAAAATAAAAACTAAAGGACTCCAAAATACTGTACAACCTCTTGCAGTAACCATCAAAGTGGCTTCTGGAAACAACATTTTTGCCAAAAAATGTATTTGTAAGGCACTTAAACAGGTATCTTTTTAATATATATATGTATATATAAAAATAAAATATGCACTGAAGCAACATTCACAGATACCCAGCTGTCTCATTTGTCTGTGTGTACAGTATAGTACATATATACATTCACTGTGACACGGGCCACCTCCATCGTTATACYTTCACGGGTGCTTTGGGCTGCCTGGTTAACTTCAATGCCTGTGAACAGCAAAGAAAAACAGTCACTTTTTTTACACTCTTTTAAAAGAAAAACCAGAACAAAAAGACAAGCTCTTTATTTTAGTAGCAACAAAATGCTCTGTGTCCTCCTGCAAGGTGGAGAGGGGAAGCAGTGGGCAGAGGACAGACCACTCCAGGGTTCGTGCTGATCTGGGCTTCATAATGGCACTTACTGCCTGGTTGCCCCACGCAACCTCCTCGTGTGGAGGTAGCCTTAACAAGGAAACAGCAGGAACACGGCCAGAGGGCTGTGGGAGCCCAGTCTCAGATGTCCTTTGGAAAGCAACTGTTGGGACCCCACTCAAAAACACACACACACACACGCACCTGTGGCACAGATGCAACAGCTTCTGACCTAGTTAGGGAAAGACTGTGAAAAAAGCCTTGGCAAGAGCCTCCTTCGATGTGGCTCTGAGCTTGCTCAGGGGATGGTTACTGCTGCAGTGGTGAGTGTCAGGCACCTGCAATGTTCATGCCCTCCTTTCAGAGCCAAAGCCCACCAGGCCAGAGATAATCTTATTCCAGGTGGCACCTGGAGTGCTTTAGCTTGACTTCCCTCTTACTGCATACTTTGACACTGAGGAAAGTAACCATGTGCCTTTTAGGAGAAGGACCTGGAGGTGGAGAGTGGTGGGTACCTGCAAGGTTGCAATTAGCCTTTAATGTGGTAGGAAGCCCTGCAGGCAAAGAAGGGGAAGTAGGGCGGGTGTTACCCGAGGGTCACCCATTCCCTAGGATATTTCTGCAGCTGCTATCTGCAGTCTTGCGAGGTGCCAAACACCCTGCTGAGCATCATGCAAGGACGGCATTTTCTGCAAGCAGCCCTGGACCTGCCAGGGAATTTGGACAGAGTGGGGAAGTTCCTGACATTTGTAACCTCAGTTTCCCTTGGCTTTTGGGGGGAGATGCCCTGTCAGACTAACCTCACTCAGTGGGTGAGAGACTATTGTTTCTAGAGGACTGGCTGAACAAACAATTTTCAGTTTGAGAGATGAAATCTGATGAGTCTTCTATTGTAGATATTAACCTTTAATATTGTACATTTAAAGCTTGTAAGCACTACGTGGAAAATACTCTAACACAAATGTAAACTCTTAAAAAAATCCAAACCTTTAAAAATAAATAGGCTATATTCCCTTCAGAAACACCAGCATTCAGAAACACCAGCATTTAACTACTGTTAAATCTAGCCATTCAAGATTAAACTTTGGGATATTATTCAGCAAGAGACTTTGGAGAGAGACATCCTTCCACATCTTGTTTGTGGAAACAATTTTTACTTTGTAGTTTGGCAGATTCTGCTTGCCATATTTACAAACTAGAAATACCTTAGCGTAGATAAACCTCTAAATATTTAAATTCAATTTCATACAAGCAGATCACATGTACTTTCATAATTAAGTAAGAATGTCACTGCAGCTGAATACTGTGACTGGATAACCGCCTCCCTCTGCAAGAGAGATGCCAAAGTGAAGCCAAGGTGTTTAGAGAAAATAAACATCAAGGGTGATGATGACATGTTTATTTTCAAAGCAGGAGACCATTATCCAGTCACAGCCCTCTATTATACTTATTGCAACTGTACCAAACCCAACCTCATTGATTCTTTTAAAGAGTAATTAAAATAACATTTGTGAATAATACAGGAGACCTAGTGAAGGAACAGTTTCAACAGAGCAACGATCCCCCAAAGTAGCTTTACGGTTGCATTACAGTCTGATTAGCACAGAAGGCTTATTTGATGCTTAATGAATAAGAAACTAGCGCTGGTGAACCTTAAATCTCTCTAGTACTGGTTGGCTTTCCTGATGCCCTGCTCAAAGGCTGTGCTAATGTGCAGCAACTAACAGCAGCCCCAGTAGGGCAGCAGAGCCCTGAGGATCAGGGACACCTGGACGAGCTCCAGCCACGGTCCCTGTTTTGGCAGCAGGAAGCAGTGAGATGACAAACAGAAGCCAGCACTGCGGGGACTGCTCTGTCACTGGTGGTGTCAACTGCAGGCTAGCTTTCTGCTGGGACAGCACAGAATTTCCCTTATACCATCTTTAATGTCTACTAATGTCTCTTGATAATTTCAATTGAAAAAAGATATATTTTTTTTTAATTGTCATGACTTTCAGACCAACAGAGTCTCAAGAAGTGATATATGATATCCACTTTTGGATGTTGAGATGGATATTATCTTCACAAGATCTGGGTACCTGGGCAGCACAATTCCTGGAAAACTGAAGCTTTCCAAGCTTTTTACAATTCAGTTAACTGAAAGTGGATTCCCACAAAGTTACAGATTTGGAGAATTTAGCAGTCAAGTTAGCAATGTGACTTCCGTGGACTGAAGCTAATAAAATGACCTCCTGGTGGTCTGGGCTGCAAATTGGAAACATGGGAGAACTTTTTAAAAAATGTCTCCACTGACAATTGGAAAATGCAGAGTACTGGTGGAACTGGGCTTCCTACAATATATGTCTTGACCTTCACCTTGAATGATTATATATAGGTCACGCAGCTGCCACAGCCACTTAATCCTTATAGTCTCAGAACATTGAAGGCAGCATTAAAACCAGTTGTAAGGACCACCTTTCCATGAGATGGTTACTCCTCTTCCGAGAACTGGACCAAAGCCATTGCAATTATTTCGTATAGGTGACCAAATGGCTGGCAGATGTGAATCCTCTCAGTCAAGTAGAAAGCTAAGTGGAATTTGAATCACTGATGTCACTGCAAAAGGCTCTAGGTTTTAGACTACAATCCTACCAGTCATCCCATGCTTTGGTTTTTGGTGGGAAACACACTCTCACAGACTTCTTGCTGCCATAAAGGGTAGCCAAGTAAAGAAATATTTGAAAAACTTAGTTCTCCTTCAGTTCCCAAAGGGCCCTTGCTTTGCCCAGCTCCCCAGGCTCCCATACCAGGGCACAGTGGACATCTCCCCAAGACAGGTCCAAGGCTGTCATTATTAGTGAAGGACTGAGCCATCCCTATGGAGCATAATTTGTACTTGAATGCTTGCTCCTATGAATAGAGCTAGCTGTAGATGTCTAACTTCTGCATCTGAACTTGTTGCAAAGCCAAGGGAAAAAGCCCGAGGTTTTTAATTTCAGGCCACTGTGACAGCAGAGGTAATGAAACAGATAAATTGCTTCCATGGAATCTACAAAAAGGAACCTGAAGAATTTCGACTTATGTTTAGCTGTTTTTTTTCCTCACAGCAGTCTTTCATTCCACATCTGTAAGAGCAATTCTTACCTTTTGTCTAGAAACCATCCAAGATTTTATTGTTGGTACCAACAGACTGCCAAGAAGAATCTGAGCAGGATGATAGATGAGTAAGGGGACGGAAATTAAGGACAGGTGCTCGTATCCTGCAAACACTATCTTCAGCATAGGAATCCCTGCAGGCAGAAAAACAGGACACAGATTCTCACCTCACATTTTGTGCCAGGAATCACAGCAAAACATTTTATAATGCATTGAGATTTCACCAAAGCACCCAAAAGGAAACAAAATTAAGACTCAGGTGTATTTTCAAACAAACAGAAGAATACAGACAAAAATTCCACTGCAGATAAAGCTTTTCAGTGGAAAAAAGTAAGGAGTAGGGGAATATCATAGAAGATATTTTCTATTATGTTGATAGTTGTCAAACTTCTGTGAATATTTGATGTAAAATACATTCTGCTACAGCACAAGGCTTCTGTATACTCTTTATTTGCTACTTTCTCTTGCTGTGCTATTTCACCACCCTGCCCAATTCCTGCTTGCAACCTTTCCTTGGTGTTTCCACCGCTGCAGAAGGGTTGTGTTTTGCTTGCATACTCCCTGCTAGTAGGTAAATACCAGGCTGCCTCACACGCTCTGGCCTATGTCTATGTTTCAGAAGAGAGAGAACAAGACAAAGAAAAGGTCTAAGAAGTGAAAATAAGAGATGGTCAAGCCTACAGAGAATTCAGGGAACAGCTGGAGCATGGAAGCTGCCACATGTTGGAAGACTCTGTTTAAAACTAGAGTTTGAAACTGAGTTTGAAACTAGAGATAGACTTTTTCCTACAAGCTTGACTTTGGAATTATTTGGCTGATTATAGTAGACCTTTTCATGCATAATTTTCCCACCTGTTGAAGTGACATGTAAGATTTAATTTGATTTTGTTCTGCAATAATGAAACAGATTACACTTACTTCAAACACATTATTGTTCAAATAACGTTTAAAGCATGGAACTTGGCTAGCATGCTCCACAAAGCACGTGTGCAGGCAAAGCTCCTTAACAATCTCTGCCTCATCCGACCAGACGTTTGGATAATCACAAACACGAGTGGCTGCTATACCCCAGGAGGGGACATACCCACCTGTCTGCCTGATTTAAATGTCATTCTATGAGTCCTCCACCAGCACCAACCTTGCAGGGAAGCAGACTAGACAGTTTTCACAGAGCTCCTCTGTGCTTCTCCTTTCTTAGCAGCCATAAAAAGCTGAGCTGTGGCACATGCCCTCTACCTCCCAAGCAGGACAGGTATATTTCACTTCTCAACATCCTTCCAGGTCTCCCTTAATAAAAGGTGCTTCCTCCCTAGGTGAGGAAACAACTAATTTGTTGAATATTTACTACTCCACCAGTGCACCATTACTCCTGACACACATCTAGGCCTGCAGAGTTCTTCATGGTGTTTCCACAGCACAATTTCTTTAATTAATTTAATTAGCTTCATCACATTAAATCACTAACAATCTAGTCCCCATTACAGTAGCCTTTACTTATGTGGGTATTTCCAGGGAAAGGCTAAATCAAATAAAGATTTGCCGACTTAATATCAGTATTATTAAATAATTATCTCTAAAAAATTCATCATGGACCTACCACCAAAACAATAAAGCTACTTCTTATTTATACTCATTTCTGAGACACGAGAACAGATAGTATTTGGATAAAAATTAAATGGGCATTTGCATTACACTAAAGAGTGTAATTTACTTCAAACACCCATCATACTGTTTTGGTAAACAGATAATGGTTTTATTATGTGTTTCCTAGTCTGAACTTCAGGCCAGCGATACCTTTTTTTTATTACTGCACAAAAATAATCTAGAATCTTAACTTATAAACATGCTGTGTATATGCTCTTAAGGACCTGGGATTTTGGCAGTGCAGTTTCATATGCAGGTACAAAAACTCTTCAGTAAATTGAACAGGACTTGTACAGAGAATCAGAGAATGCTAAAGTGACTAACCCAAGACTAACCCAGAAAACTAAGGGCAAAGATATGAACAGAATGGACTGAAAGTGACCGAGATCGTCTTTAAATTAATATACATGCACTGGAATAGAAGGGGAAAAAAAAAGTAAAAATCTAAACTAAAAGGTAAATTTTCTCTAGGTAAATAGAAGGCTATTTCAGTAAACTATGAAAAGAAAATTAAAGTTGTCAAATATAAATACAAAATACTATAATTAGTATGACAATATAATTAGATCACCACATAGAAAGAGCTTCTTAATTCACAGTTTATTTAAATATATGTCACAACAATAGGTTTTTGTGAGCCACTTACATGCAATTAAAGTTCCTATTATTTACTAGGAAAACTAACTAGTGAAAAGCAGTAGTAATGTTGTTTGCAGGTAAGCATTAGTTTAATGAGAAAAAGCCTCGTAAAAAGCCTTTTTCTCTTTTTATGTGCTTTCCAATTTCTGTAATTGCAGTCAACATGCCACACTCTTGGAAAATATTTCTTGACAAAGATCCACACATCGCTGCCTCAAATACTTGTGTCAGGAGCGGTATCACAAAGCTAAGCAAAATAGCGTTGGAATCTTTTTTAAAAAATATTCTCTAAATTTTTCCACAACAATACATAGTAATCTCAAGTATCAGTATGATTGCTAATGCTTTCCAAATGCCTAACATAAAAGACACAAAAGATTTCAGTTATAAAAGATTTTTTTTAAAAAGTGTGTGAGGGGGGAAAAGCCAGGGAGGGAAAGGGGGTGAAACCTAGTGAGAAGAACAGCCAAAGGACTGATCTAAGTCTTGACCTGAAACATATTTTCAAGATGAGGTAAAGATCCAGTGTTAACAGAAGCTGTAACAGAAACACTGATTGAAACAGTGACATGAACCAGTGTTGCTATAACAAAACTACGGAAAACAAAAAAGAGAGAGAGATGGGTGTAGAACTTTCCAATAGACAGAAAGGACTAAGCAAAAAGGACCAGGTTGTCTTTATTCCGGGCTGGCCACTACTTTCTGGCTCATCAGTTATAGCCCATTGATTCCAGTGCTAATGGAACACGATAGGGCTGTACTAGTCAAGCAAAATTTTAAATCATATCAAATCACATATAAACCAAACCATATCATTAGCTTAGTTACAATTCTCTTAAGTTTACTCAAAGTAACCCAGTTGCTCCTTCTTTTTCCCAACCTTTGCAAGCTGAAGCATTAAGGTGATATTCTGCATTCATGTGAATAAATAAAAATTATGTTTTGATTTCACAGAGTCACTTAATCTGGCTCCTCTGCACTTGAGGGTAATGGCACTGACTCTGTGCGTCTTCATCCTGATTGACACTGAAAGAGGAACACTGGCACTATCAGTTTATATACATGCACACATACTRTGCTAAGCTTTAGGGCTGCTCTCGTGGCCCAAGGACTCACAGGACAGGCACCCAACAAGGTGCTGAGCTGCCAGGGTGCTTTGAGGAGCCCTGTTGCTGGGAGGGGGGCTGACCAAGGCGGGCCCCACTTAGGGCTCTGCTCCGTCCTCCCCTAAGGATGAGGAAACAGGTGAGTGAGAAAACTGCATCTCGCCAAACTTGAAAGGAGGAGCAGCAGAAGACTTGGATCACTCCACAAATATCCCTTACAAACAAGCTCATTGATATTCTAAGCTTTTTCACCCTGAATTTCTCCTGCTTGCCTTTAGTTTCTCCCTCATGCACCTCCTATCAGTGCTTACCTATGTTCCCTCATTGCACTTTGGCTCTTGCATTCACAGGCTCTCTTACATTTTCTTTCTCTTGTTTTCCTCGTCTTCTCTGCCCCCATGCTCCGTTCTGGCTTCCCAGGATCTTTGGTTCTGCTCCCACTTGCAATAGGGTAAATGGTGAGGACTTCCACAACATAACTGAGCTCCCAGCAGGCCCACAGTAACAAAGAAAAGTGGGGCAGGCYGGGACCAGGAGTATAGTCTCATTTTCCTCCTTCCACATAACAAGTTAGCACACCTGAAAAGCCAGCAGGAGCAAAGCTGCTTCTCTTTCCTCCAACAACTGCAACAGCGAGGAGCGAGAGCACTGCTCCCGAGGTCTGCTGCAAGAAAGTCCTATTTGCTCCCTCTTGCTCCAGAGTGCTGCAGCTTGGCTCCAAGGCTGTGTTTAGCCCAGGCCTAAGGCCACTGCTTCCCAATAGCGCACTCAAGTGAAAGCTGTTTATCCTCCCTGCAGCTTTGCACCCCGTGCAACTTCCCACATCCCTGGCTTCCCTTTGCTACTTTCACATTTGGTCGTCACCTTTCTAAAAGGCCCATGAAAATATTATGCTGCACTTCACTACATTTAGTTAACAGTAAAATAATAATAATAAAAAATCCTAAAAGATTTGAAGGTATTTTTAAGAGAATTTAAATATAGGACTCTTTTCATCTAGCTATCACTGCAGTAATATAAATGAAACAAATTAATTTTAATGCTCCGAGGTACTGATTCTGTGTCACTGTGGCTGACAGGATCCAACTAGATTTTATGAGATGGCATTTGACTTTATGGAAGTGAGCACTATGCACGCATTTACAATTTTACAGGGACTTTAAGCTGTCATGCTGAAAAATGTTTATAAAACATTAATCAAAAAATGCCTCTTTAATACAATGCATTGTCTGAAAGATGTTAGAAGGCACATATTGTAAATGGATTCTTTTTCTGACTAAAGTAATTTCTACCAAAAGCTTTTCCCCATTGCTATACAAGTACACAGTGTGGAGAGATAAAGAGCACTTTCTCAGCACATTACTACCTGATCCAAACACTTGGGAAATCACTAATGTACAGCATGCCATATTTCCATGTCACACATGACACATTTGTCTAAAATTATCCAACAGAGTTTGACACTGCAGCATATTCCATAGCAGAGCTTTCAACTGACATSTGCCAAGTAAGAACTTCAAGTAAGAGCTTTCTTCTTCTAACAAGCAAGTAAGGGTTTTCTTTTATCCTATACCCACGATGGAAGTGATAAAACAATAAGTATTGGAACTCAGATTTTTTTCTACTTTAATATGTTTATTTTATGCTCTCTGAATTTGTAAGCTTCCCTCAAAGCAGTGTTTCAGCATTTGCTCTTTTCTATCACAATGCAATGGATTCAGAGAACTTAATAGAACATTTTTATC